AAACTTTCATTTATATAAACCCGACTGACTTTATGGAGAAAGAGTGACTTTTGAAGATGAACTCTTTATTCCAAAAGTGGCACCAAAGAGTCTGGACCTGCTCTTGCTACAAACAAACTCGACAAAAAATGAGATTGACTTCATTATGACGACCAGACGTCAACATTTTTGTTATGTCTCAGTGATCGCGAGGGTGAAAACAGCAGCGACCACCGAATGGTGAGAGGCACACTGAAGCTAAACGTTAAGTTGGAGAGGTCACGCCTAATGAAGTCAACGCTCTAACCCCTTCGTACTCTAACCCAAAGCTTCTAAAACTTTCAGCTCGAGTTACAAAATTGTTTTAATACCTAAAAGACTGTAATGAAGAGGGCGATATGAATGACAAGATTGTTGAACTTGTCTATGCAGTCGGAGCTAAGTACTGTAAGACCAGTCGCAGAAGAACACAAAAACTCTGCGATCACAATCTTAATCTCATGACTGTTAGACCTCCTGTCAGTTCAGTTGCAGTTTTCAGCAGATTTGACAGATCACAGGCAACTGAACAGACAGGTCTCCAAATGTATGCAGCGGGACTTATGCAACTTTATACAGCTCGTGTTGAAGAAGCGATCGACCGGGATTAGGACTCCAAAGTCATTGCCATAGATCCGTCTGCCAGAAAGAGCTAACTGTTGAAGAGCATGTCTTATCCTACACTTTTCCGATGATATCCCGGATGTCAGTCTGAGCGAGATTATGATGACTCTCTAGCAACTTAAAGCGAGAATGGAATTTCAGCGTAGCTTCTGAAATCGGATAGAAAATCGGTATTTAAAGTTCTTCAGAAGCTTTTTAAGTCCGTCCTCCAGGGTGGCACAACTCCGGAGGCATTGAGCAGAAATGCGATAGTATCGTTCTTCAAGAAAGGCGACAATGCTCTTTTGAAGAACTACAGACCGATTTCCCTCTTGAGTCGCATCTACGTGCTATTTTCGAGAGTCATTACTAATCGTCTTGCATGCAGACTCGACGACTTCCAGCCTCCCGAACAGGCTGGTTTCCGAAAAGGCTTTCGCACCATAGACCCTTCGGCAAACTGTACAGAAGACCCGAATAGTACAATCTACCACTATGTCTTGCGTATGTGGACTATTAGAAAGCCTTTGATTCCGTCGAAATTCGGGCGGTGATTCAGTCCCCTTAGCGGTGCCAAGTAGACTGTCGGTGTATCGAAGTTGCTGAAGTGTTTGTACAGTAGGGCTAAGATGGTTTTGCGAGTACAGAATCAGAGTACGAAACCTATTCAACTGCTGAGAGGTGCAAAACAGGGTGAATCAATATCCCCGAAACTCTTCACCGCTGTATTGGAAGACGTTTTCAAGCTACTGGAATAGAAAGGATACAGTATTAACGTCAATGGGGAGTACATCACTCACCTTCGATTTGCCAACGACGTGGGCTATAATTATGATGATGATGGTATATTTTTAAGTAAACTCATAATATAAATCTTTATTAAAGAACTAAAAATTGTTTTAGTTACACGTAATATCGCAGCTATATGCATTACTATTTCTTAATTTATTTTACTTATCATTCGATATATTACAGTGATCAATTTCAGTGTGAGTACAACTACTCACGATCTAATCTTCGATTATTTATTATCATTGATGCATTTGACGTCTATACCTTGGTTTAATCAGTGTTTATCAATTTACGTAAATTCAATGTGGCATTTTTTATAATATCATTGATTAAAGAATAAACGATACTGTTTTCTTCTAAGTTTGTAGTTTAATAAAAAAACAATAAGATGGAAAAACTACTACTTCTGAACTAATAGTTACGTTATATTTAATATACGTTATGCTACGCTCACATCTGCGAATAGTTTTCCACAATTTTTTAATATCTATCGATTTTTCTGTTAGCAGAAACCTAAAAAAATAAAACCAAATAACAGACGAGTGGCAGAAATCTTTCCTATCTAGAAGTTCATCTGGATAAGAACCATTCTCTTATTTATTTTCGCTGCTAAGCAGGTACATCCACTTTTATGTGACTTAAACTTAACCTTTCCCTACTCTTGTCTTCCTTTACACGGTTTTCTTCTTCATCGGCCCGTAAAAACCCACTGAGGACATGGGCCTTTGTTGGGCAAAACAACAATTATATTACATATAAAACAAACAAACATAGTTACACAATTAATGGGCCCTGTTAAACACAACATTAAAAATTAAGCATTCAATGGAATATGTAATATAATGATAATATTATAATAATAGTTTGGGAAAAATGTTTCTTCGTATTTTGGTTGTATAAAATTGAAGAAAATCTCTTTGGTTGTACTGTTTCTATCTGACTAGTTTTAATTTCAACATATTAAGGAAAGTAAAAATAAAAAGTAAAACAGTTTCCCGCCATTATTCTATTGTTTTTCTGTCCGCCAAAATGAGTGAATCTAACGAAGAAATTCGATGCAATCTGAAGGTTTATTACAAAAAAGGAAAAATGCAGCTAAAGCCGCTAAAAAATTGTGACGTTTGTGAACCTAACGTATTCTCAGTAAGAGTAGCACAAAGTTGACTCAAGCGTTTGATGTCAAAGATGCAGCTCGCTCTGGTCGCACTTATACGGATAAATGAATGACATTTTTGAAAAAGTTGAGTAATATCGACATATTAGTAGTTGCGACATAGCCGAGAAATTGAGGATTGACCACAAAACTGTGATTTGGATTGACACAAAAAAGCTATATATTCGAGCTCGATTCGCACACAATCTCAACAGAAAAGGAGTGGTCTTCCAAGCCAGATCACATACTTATCAGGCCACTCAGCAAAAATTGAGAGAGCTTAGTTGGGAAGTGTTAATTAAAGAAAAGAGTGACTTTCAATAAGTATTATTTATAATCTATATTGAATAAAAAAGTTTCTGTTTCTCTTAATGCATCCACCATTTAGTCCTGATTTTCAACTGTTTGGATGAAACCTTCACCACATCTTCAGAATTTTTTGGTAAGTGTTCAGTTAACATCAAGAGAGGACATTTTTTTTATAGGATAGGATGACAAATGAGTACACAGTCCACCTGATGGTAAGTGGTTACTTACAGTATGGTTACAAACCCATAGACATCCACATCTATCCTCAATAAAGACTCAAGATGCAGATGCGTTGTCACCCGTGAGGACTAAGATGGAATGCCTCTTTGCGAGTCAAAAAGAGAAAAGGGTCTCCGGTTCTCTACACACAAGTAGTTGCTGTGATCTGTGCATCTACATCTATCCTTGACTACAAATCAAAATGCGGATGCATTATCACCCATCACGACTAAGATGAACTGCTTTGTCTTCAGTAAAAAAAGGGTCTCGGGTTCTCTACACTCACCATTCGAAATACAACAGCGTGAAGCTGCTATTTTAGGCTGGTATTCTGGGAGAGCGTGGTCCTTTCCCAGTCGAGCCGACCCATTCGTGCTACAACTATACTACTAATATAGCTGCAGCATGGCTCTACCACGTGCAAAACTCTGCCATATACATATATATATATATATATATATATATATATATATATATATATATATATATATATGTATGTGGTAGCGTCGGCACTACCTTATACGTAATATATATATTACGTACATATAAGGTCGAGGAAAATGTTTCTTCGTATTTTATATATAAATTCAAGACATTGCTTTTTCAAAGTTAAATTACATTTAATTTTAATATATAGGCATGTGCCATTTTCCTGTAATTCCGTTGAAAGAAATCTTTTTTATCAAAAAATGCGTGTTTAAATTAATATCCTAATGTTAATTACAAAATGTATAATAAAGAAGTCAGTTGCGGAGTGATTTCCACTAGATGTACAGAATTGCACTGTTGATTCTATAAAATCGGTAATTTATTCTAATAAATGAACGAATGTAGCGTTTCTAATTAATATATAAATAAATACGACAATGCGATCAACACTTTCGAATTATTTTTTCCGATTTATATTAAATTAAAAATTAAAGTAGGAACGAAAGTTCTTTTTGATGTTGTTATAAAACAATTGATTTGGTGTATTTCAACTAACCTGCAAGAGCAGTATATTTTTCGATGTAAACACGCCATATAAATAGTCGTCCAATGGCGATCCAATATATTACATCGTACGCATCCGCAGCTGGTCTATAATATCACTCTCAGAACACTAGTCTGACGGCAGTAGCTTATTTATACAAAATTTTATATGGAGAAATATTTATAAAAATGTTCTTAAATTTATAACATAGTTTAATAAAACTACAATCATAGCTAATGTAAACTTGAAGTTGTAAAGAAAAATTGTACTTATTATTAAAGATTCTTGTCACAATCATCAATTTAATCTCTTCTTTAAGGTAAATTATAATTAAATTAATTGAACACTAAATAATCCTCTTGCTTTCTAATGTAGTAAGTAGAAAGGGTGTGATGGAATAAAATAACTTCTTGGTAAAGTACTTCGTATATTATTAAACCACAACTGATTAGCTTAACGTCTAACCAACGAATGCCCCTCCGTTTGCATTTTATATAAAGATGTCTTTATAAGATTATGAATGTCATTAGAATATCTCGCGGCGGCGCCACTTGTATTCAATAATACCGGAATTCATGTGAATGTTCGGATAAGGATGATTTAACGGGAAATACAAGCATAATTAATAAAATATATTTTGAAACGCTTACAGCTCGGCCATCCGTCCACTTAACGAGTCCTCTCGTTTTATCCAATAGAAAATTGACAATAAAAAAGTATTTAGCATAAAGAAACGAATATTTCCGTTTATACTACTTAATCTTTAACAGCATGTTTGTATAATTTCACACAGTTACACTAACAATTATAATACTATAAATGATAGGTATAAATCATTACACAAGTCATACTAATATCAATACTAATGTTTGTAATTGGTTTTACAAATCCTCTTTTCCATTTTTACATATATAATATTCTTTTACCATTACTTCAAGCTGATCTGTGACCTGAATCAGCATGAAAATGTTCAGTAACCTTGAACAGGGATACCAGTGCTAAGCCATGGATAAGTATGACCAAGTGACTTGGCGGCAACCACAAGTCCCTAACATCAGACGTTAGCTCCGAAGCTGGTCGGTGACCTTGACCAGTCTGGAAAACACAAATCTATGAACTTGATCTGTGCTTTAACAATGGTTTCGTGGTCCATGACTTTGACCATAAACCCTTGATTCCTGTCCTTGAGTCTAGAACTAACCACTGACCTTGGTTTAGTTCCTTGATTGAGTTAAGTGAAGAGTGATTCATTACACTGACCACAACTTACAAATCCTTAATCTAAACACAAAATCAAACAAACAATGCTTTTGTTGTTTACTATCTAAGTAATATCTAACTATTCATATACTCAATTTTACAAATCGTCATTTGTTTGCATTTATATTTCAATAATATACTCGTGTAACGTGACAAGTTATCCCTTTAATTATCAACAGCTGTAATCGTGTCGGTATTAGTATTTTCATCGTTTGACGTTTAACCACTATCTGAAGACATAGGTTTATTAACAGCGAGCCAATAATCTTATCGCTATTGATAATATCTTATCAATAGCGATAAGATATTCCCCTGGCTCGCTGGATATCTCCCCTTCCTCGTCAAAGGAGTGTCCTCAATAACAAACCTGTCATTAGGGAGTACCTTTTTAATCCTATAGGGCCCCTGACATTTTGCTTCTAACTTCTTAGACTGTTCCTCAATGCCGGTTACTGCCCTAATTACCCTAAATAAATCTTCCCTATCTTTTCCCTGTTGTCCCTGAATTCGATCCCTAGCATCAGCCCGGATTTCTTCTAAATCAATCGTAGTACCCTAAATAAATCACCTTCCTTAAAATTACGTCCTTTTTTCTATGTTTATCGAAATTCTCCCTATCTTTTCCCTGTTGTCCCTGAATTCGATCCCTAGCATCAGCCCGGATTTCTTCTAAATCAATCGTAGTATCCCTAGTTACTTCAGAAATTACGCCGATTAATAGTCCTTGGGTTGGGTCAAAGGCATTATATCCAAACAATAGTTCGGTTGGAGTCTTTTTGGTCGTGGCGTTAATGGTCGTACTAATTCCCAATTGTATGTCAGGTAAGTGTTCATCCCATTTGCCATTTGGTTTACCGTGGTTTATAGCGCCAAATATGATGCCAAAATAGTGCGATAATACCGCTTAACTTGTCCATTGGCACGGGGAGTGGCAACAGCGTTATAAATGTGCTTAATCCCAGTAGTCTTAATAAAGGATTTGAATATCCCACTTGTGAAACTAGTATTTTGGTCAGTAATTAGACGAGTGGGTGTTCCAAAGTAGCTGAACTGATCTCTGAAGACTTTTATACTTGTGATCGACTACGAATTGCGTACGGCGGTGAGGTTAATGAATTTCGTAAAAGTGTCAATTATTACAAGGATGTAAGTATTCTCACGCTTAGTTCTTATAAACGGCCCTAAGTGGTCCGCGTGAATGGTGTGGAAGAGCTTGTCACCCTTTGGGATGGGTTGTAATTCACCTACCTTAACACCACTAGGTATTTTGTGATGAGCACATTCAACGTATGCGTATTGCTTTACGGATCGTCGCATTTTTGGACACCAATAAGTTGATTGAATCCGAACCAGCGTTTTGTCAAAGCCGAAGTGTCCAATATGATCATGGTTACTCTCTAGTATTTGCCATCTAGCCCCCTTTGGAACCAGCCAACGCTCAAGATTGTCACTTAAAATACGATATAACTGCCATTTTTAAGTTTATAGTTGTTAAAAACGTCGGCAACCCCTTTCGTCCATTTACAATATCACTTATCCTTTTTATGTCCTCGTCTGATCGCTATGCTGTAACAATCAAGTCTTCAACGTTAACATTAAGGACATCTAGAACATGAGAGTCATCCAAAACATTGTCGACTGGACCTAGACTTAAGGTCAGACGTGACGTGGGCCATTTTCACACCTGGTCCTGGATTTCGCAATCAAATTCCGAGAATTGTACCCACCAACGAGCAATCCGCTGAATGAGATAGCGTTTGACTAGAGTACTACGTAAAGCGTTATAATAATAATTTAATTATACGTGGTAGAGCCATGCTGCATCTATATTATTGTTGTAGCACGAATGGGTCGGCTCGACCGGGGAAGGACCACGCTCTCACAGAATACCAGCGTAAAATAGCAGCTTAACACTGCTGTGTTTCGTATGGTGAGTGTAGAGAACCGGAGAGCCTTTTTACTGGAAACGAGGCATTCCATCTTAGTCCTCACGGGTGACAACGCATCTGCATTTTGACTCTTAATCGAAGATAGATGTAGATGTCTATGGGCCACAGCGACCACTTACCATCAGGTGGACTGCGTGCTCGTTTGTCACCCTTATCCTATAAAAAAAAAAAATATGTTATGATTTTAAAACGGATTCCTAAGAGATAAACCCTGAATTTGGCCAGCGATGCTATTACTGCAAGAGTCTCAAGCTCAAACGAATGTAGCTTTTGTTCATCACCGGTGGTTTGTCTGCTGTAATAAGCGAAGTGTTTGAACAATCCACATTCGTTCTTTTGAAGGAGTATACTCACTTCGACAAACTTGCTTGCGTCAGTGTGGAGCTGGGTTTCCGCAGAAGAGTTATAAATGGCTAAGACAGGCCGCTCAGTTAGGGCCCTTTTCAACCTCTCAAATGCCTCAATTTCATTTTTATCCCGTCTCCATTCAGAATCCTTTTTCAACAGCGATGTAAGGGGTCTCGCCATTAAGGCAAACCCCTTTACAAACCTCCTTAAAAACTAGCTAGGCCTAAAAATCTTCTGACCTCATGAACGTTCTGGGGTGATGGAAATATTGATGATTGCATAGTCTTTAAAGAACCTGGTCTTACGCCGTTAAAACTAACCTCATACCCCAGATAGTCATTTTTTTTTGTAAAAGAATTTGCACTATAATAATAATAATAATAAATTCTTTATTTCAGATAATTAAAATCCATATGTGGGTTAGTAACACAATAATAAAAAGGATGCAAGGATGCAGCTTGCTAAAGCAGTGTCATGCACTATTCAAAATTGTTTCACTAATAGTGAAAATAGTTGGCAAACATTTTTTACTTTCGCGTATTGCCATTTTCATTTTGATAAAACAATAAATAAATCAATTACGTCTCAATTAAAAGAGACATCTTTCCAAAATTTAGATTACCCTATTAATACTCATCTCGACCACGTCCTAAATTTGATTTAAAAAAGTAGTTGAGTCGAAAGTAATGGATTACGACTTAAAAAATGCATCCCGTATTTTATTCTCAGACAACATAACAACATATCCTGGCTCCTCGTAATGTCGAAACTCTTGAAAGCTTTCGTCAAAAGCATCCTTCGTTCAAACCGTCTCAGGGTTTACCGCTGCCTCCCAAGACTTCTATGCAACATTTACAAATTTCGGAAAAAGACACTTTAGAAGCAATTATGTCATTTCGAATGGCTCTGCTGACGGCATTGACGGAATTACGCCTCAACATCTTAAAGATCTTGTAAGCGCTTCTGCCGGTGACGCCGGCGGAGTACTTCTTAAAGACATTACAAAATTATGTAACTTTATGCTTTTTGGTAATGTTAATTCAAATTTCATTCCATTCTTATATGGGGCAAGATTATGTGCCTTCAAAAAAAAGGATAACGGTATCCGTCCTATTGCCGTTGGTTCCACATTTCGACGCTTAACTTCAAAATTAGCTTGCAGGCACATAATCTCTAACCTTAAGACCAAATTTCAGCCTAGTCCACTAGGCTTTGGCAATAGAGGTGTCTGTGAGGCGGCGGTACATTCAGTGCGTACATTTTTAACAAACTCTGATGCAGATGTTATTGTGAAGGTTGACCTTAGGAATCCTTTTAACTCTATCGATAGGGTAAACCTTGCTGAAAGAAGTGGCTAACAATACCCCCGAAATTTATCATTACGTTTCGCAATGTTATAGTCAAAATACTAACTTGTTTTACGAAAAGCATGTTATCGATTCTGCTGTCGGTGTTCAGCAGGGTGACCCACTGGGTCCAGCACTTTTCAGTTTGGGAATTCAACCCATTATTTCAAATTTGAAATCCAAGCTGAATGTCTGGTACCTAGATGACGGTACACTGGGAGGTAGAGTAGATGACATCGTCAGCGATCTTACTCATATTTTTCGAAATTTTAAAAATATTGGCCTTGAATCAAATATCAGTAAATGTGAAATATTTTTTTCCAATAATTTATCTACTTCTCATAGAGACACTTTAATCCAAAATTTTAATCATATTTGTCCAGGATTAAAAACTGTCAGTACAGAATCACTATACCTGCTAGGTGCCCCGTTGTTTTTCGATAGTATTAAACCTGTTTTAAAAACAAAATTTGATCAGTTTTTAAACCACGTTGATAAATGTATAAATTAAACCCCCACATAGCTCTTACTATTTCAAAATATTGTCTTCTTGTACCTAGATTTACATACTTACTCCGCTCGAGTCCAGTCTAGAAATGTTCGGATATTTTACAAGATATTGATAATAATCTTAAAATAGCTATAGAAAAAATTCTAAATTTAACTTTATATACAACAGCCTGGACTCAAGCTACTTTACCTATAAAATTTGGTAGCATTGGTGTGAGAAATCTTTCTAGCGTTGCATTGCCTGCTTTCCTTGCTTCCGTGCATAGTGTCAGTAACTTATGTAACATAATTTTAAATAATAAAGTAGACCTATGCTTTGCTACGGAGGCAGGGCAGACATGGCAAACGCTCTGTCCTGGTGAAAATGTTCCACTGGAAGTTAACCAACAAAAACAGTGGGATATTCCGTTTGTACAGCGCGTGCAAAAGGATTTGTTTCATAATTTCCATAGTGACCAAGATAAGGTACGCCTTCTAGCTGTTTCGACTAAGGAATCTAGTCACTGGTTACACGCTTTACCATCAAGTAATCTCGGCACATTACTTGATAGGGAAAGCTTGCGCATTGCCGTAGGAATCCGACTAGGAGCGGCGATTTGTAAACCCCATCAGTACCCCTGTGGTAGCAGCGTCGACAAGTTTGGACTCCACGGACTTTCCACGGAAAAGCGCTGGTAGGTTTTCACGACACAGTTCTTTGAACGATGTCATCCGAAGGGCTCTTGCCTCTATAAATGTTCCCTCGGTTTTAGAGCCTTGTGGAATATTTAGAGACGATGGCAGGAGATCCGACGGTATGACATTGGTCCCTTGGGAGAGAGGTAAAGCCCTAGTATGGGATGCTACTTGCGAAGACACTCTGGCGGCCTCTCATCTCAGAGGTACCTCGTTTAAAGCCGGGGCGGCATCATAAACAGCTGAACTGAGTATGTGGCGCAAATATGAGTCTCTGAGAGATGGTTACATATTTGTGCAATTTGCTGTAGAGACTATCGGTCCGTGGGGTCCACGTGCGGTGAAGTTCCTAAAGGAACTTCATCCGCGGCTGGTCGTTGCTGCTGGTGATAAGAGGGCTGGTTCTTTCCTCGCTCAAAGGCTAAGTATAGCCATTCAGCGAGGAAGCGCAGCCAGCGTTCTTGGCACGATACCGCGGGGAGTAGGACTATATGATAGTTAAGTTTCTAGTTTTAGTTTTTTTTATTATTATCATAGTTTTTAATATTGTAGATAAAATTAAGTATTATGTAGATAGAAAATGGTAATGCTGAAATATAATAATAACAACAATTAGAATAGCAAGGGTTAGTTACAGTGGTAGTACAATGGTTTGCTTAAAATCTAGGGAAATAAAATAAATACACTGTGCCGAGACAGATCATCATGGGGGTGGATTGGGCCCAGTTATCAGTCTCTGCACAATACATTTCCACAGCGGCGATGTATATCTGTCCGCTACGGTCCTCAGAATGCTGTTGTGACTGGCTCGTACCCTGCTTATAAGGGATGCGGATTTTTTGCGTATGATTGCATTAAAACCGTCTGTTTGGTATGCCGCAAACATCCCTGATGCACTACAAAAACGAGGCAGTCCCAACAGCATTCTGAATATATTATTATATTGGACGCGCAGGGCTTCAAGCGATCTTTTGGTGTATATGACCCACAGGCTCCCCGTGTATACGCTCTGGCAATATGCTTTAAAATCTTGACTTGTTTTGTACAACGGGAAAACCTGCGAGCCAACATATTTATTACCTCTAACCGCTAGAGCATGATACACTTGCATAGTTTTAGGGTTAAGCCATTTGCCTTTACGAGATCGAACACCTAATTCACTCACCTTCATTATCATAAGAGAACATCAAATAATTTTGCAGGAATAAGTATATCGTCCATATACACTAATACATACGTACGTACGGGGGACTTTTATCCACATGATCTAGTACACTTGATGCACGACCGCTTTGAAGTACACCCGGTTATTCCTTCTACATTAACTCGATACTAAAAATAGTAGCGTGACTCGCTGTTGTCTCGCTGGATGCAAAATAGGTCCAACCTGTTCATCAAATTCTTATTGACGTACGTAAAGCCTACTCATTGTCGTATTTCATTGAGTATCGTGAATGAACTTGGCGGGAAGTGCAGCAAGACGGACCGTGTATAAAGTACTTTAGGCACTTAGGTCAACAACAAAATTAAACGTTTCTACTATTAAAAAAATATTATATGTGCAACATAAATATAATATAAACCTAAAATGTTTACCTAAACGGCATAGTTTAATTAGAACGAGAAGTCTCGCGTAATTGGTTAGACGGCTAGCGACTGCGGCCCTTACCGCATGACCTTGCCGCCTTAAATTAAATATAGACCGTCGGCTAGTGTCGCCAACACCTAGACACAATCACAATTACGTCCGCGATATGTACATTACCGTGTTATCATTTAAAATGGATGAACGATTACACTTTAATCGCTTTATATTTATTCGTTTGTATCAAAAATTGTTTAATAAGTGTGAATCGGAGTGGAACACGGTATAGTTAGGAACAATTTGAGTGTGACTAGTGTTAATTTCCAGCATGTCATCGACGTCGTCGCTGACGGGGAGAAAACGTTAGTACATTTTTTTAGATTTCACTCGAATTCCATTTATTACAGCTGTTGCTTTTCATTTCAGTCCAAGTCTTCATATGCGGTTAAAGATTTTTAATAAATTAGTAAATAGTACTAAATTATAAAATGATCTAATTAAATGATCGAAATCGATCGAAATCTTATCGATAATTTCCAATATACGCTACATTGGTGCTGGCACTATAAAAATTTCGATTTTTACCAATAGTTTTTTTTTTGGTTGTAATTTTTATTGTAAATCTGATTTTGTTTTAAATCCGTTTTAAGGAAAAGGAATATTTGCCTATTCAAAGTAACATTTAAGTATTCATCTTGCACATAAGTTGTATTAATGTTTATCGTTTGTGCATAGCATAGCCATAGTTTAAAGAGAGACATATATTCATAATATTTTGGGAGATTTTGTTACTATATTTAACTTTTCTGTCCTGATAATTACGTTACACTTTAACGCGTATTATAGATTTTTATAGATAAGAACTGATTCTGACAATGTAATCGATTTTGGGTAGGTAGAACACTAATAAATTAAAAGGTGCGAATAATTTTTTTCCTTTAGGTAATAACACACAATAAATTGATTAATTATTTATCACGATATAATTAATAATATTAAGATTTTTATAATGGGAAGGAATAACTAACTAATAGCCCACCTGCCGACAAACGTTAAGAGAAGCTACAGATGCGTAGTCGCTCCTGAAGACTGAGAATAAATGTCTAATAATCTGTAATTATACAGCCTTACCATTCCATCCGGGAGGGTAACGTCCTTTAATCGGGGGGAGGGGAGCCCTAACCCCTCTATACAAATGCATACTGGTTCGACAGACGTATACATATTTTGATATTAATTACATTTGCACACCTCAGAGCGAAAGCAGAATAGTAGTAGCTACTCTATCTTAAAAACCATCTCTTAATTTTTCAAATAATTTTATAAGAAGATTTTAATGGAAAAGCCTGATTTCGTTAAATTGATTTTATTAAATAATGTAAAAAAGTTACAACATGCTCTACATTTGATCCTGCGACTGTCAATAAGTCTAACAATTCCAATTAAGAAAAATTGCTACAAAGAAAACCTTTTACGCCTAGATAAGTCATATAGATTGCCTCATAGTAGGGATTTTGCCGTAGTTTTTTACGTGCTAGAGTCTAGCTGCACTATATTCGTAGTATAGTTGTTGCTGTGTTTCGTACGGTGAGTGTAGAGAATCGGATACCCTTTTTCCTGGAAAAGAGGCATTCCATCTTAGTCCTCACGGGTGACAACGCATCCGCATTTTGATTCCTTATTGAGGATAGATGTGGATGTCTATGGGTCACAGCAGCCACTTACCATCGTGTGTGTTCGTTTGTCACCCTATCCTATAAAAAAAGTTGCCACACTCGGCAGGCAGGATGGCAACCATAGGTTTTTTTATTGGTTCTTATCAAACAGGGAAATGGAAACAGTAGCTGACAGCTGTTGATCATCTACTGTTTCCATTTCCCTCTGTCGCCTCTTACGACAACCACGGAACGATGTTTGGTAGTGAATATTCAGACACCACACTACTTCTCGGTAAATATATTTAATAAAAAAAAGTAAATTGAAAATTTATTTTGTAACGCTACTGGAACACGCACTATACACTAAAAATTAAGAATTCATAATCGTTTATCTTAACCTTTATTTTGCTATTCAACTTTTACCAACGGGAAACTTTATTGCTGAGTGAAAACGTTTTAAGGTATACAGAAAAAATAAGTTTAATATTTTTATTTCATATTTTCAGTTGTGCTCAGTACGCTCCTTGAAACGGATCACTACGAAAGCCTCATTAAAGAATTAACATGCTCCAAATGCAACAAGTACATGAAACCACCTATTCATCTATGTGTAGACGGACATAGTTTATGTGGGCCATGCTATGAAAAAAGTTACCAATGTCATTTATGCAAGGTATGTTTTTATCGTTTTCGTACAAAAAGTAAAAAAATTATTTTCATTATCCTCACCTTCATTATCATAAGGGCCTATCATAAATCCAATACTGAACATAGTCCTCCGCTTAAGAGTGCCACAAAACACGGTCCCAGTCAACATTATCGACTTCTTACATGTCTTACCAGATCGTCATTCTATCTAATGTAGGGTTGCCATAAGTCCTGACACACCGGGACAAGGCCCCCTTCAAAGCTTTGAGACTCCGTGTCCGCGATTCGATTAATAACACAGTTGCCCCGATATGTGAATTATAAATAGTAGTAGAATGTTAATAGAAAAGGTAAATATGATCCAAAAAAACTATATTATGTAGTTAGTGCGCTATAAAGAATAGTGGAACATAAGAAAACGTGTTAGCCAATGAATAACACTATTGCGTGTGAACTAAAAGTTATACCCGTTATTCAGGTCCCGAATACCCAGAATAAGCTTTAAAAAAATGTTACGCAATTTCAAATAATGTATTGTTGCGTAATTATGATATTCTAAATGACGCAAGCTATTAATAGCCCGTGAATACGTTATCCTATCTTATCGTTTCGTTAACATGTAGTGTAGAAAGAGAAAAATATGTCTTGTGTCTTCTATATGAGTTTGATAAAGATCTAAATTTGGCTGAAGTTTGTCGAAATATTTCTGAGGCGTGCAGTTAAAGCACTGTTGACGAAAGTACATGGTGTTATTGGTTTCGAAAAACAGCAAAGCTGCGAAGTTAAACAGCGATCTGGACGACCTTTAAGGCTTTTTGAAGTAGATATCGACCATAACAATATTAAATGTTTGGTAAAAGATTCAAGAATTACTAGTAAAGTTATTTGTACACTCCTGTGTTAAAAAGACGGATACATGCACTTGGTTTTATCAAACAAACTACCCGCCTTTGCTCTGTCCGGTTTAAACAATTATCTATCCGAAATAGGTAGGCAAATAAAAAAGGAACAAAAAAAATATATACAACCATAATATGTAACCTGTGTACATTTGAAGCAATGTACCTTTCAAATGGTAAAATAATTTTACAAATATGTGCAGCGGTTCACAATATTCGCTCTCTTTTCAATATTAATAAAGTATATACTTTATAATATTTCTAGAGATATACCTAGAAATCGATTACGAAATTCTTATTCTCGCTTTATAATATTAATATAGATTAGAAAAATGGACGCGACATGAATTGTTGAAATAAATTGAATAAATAGATTGAATATTTTCGATTGAGTGTTTTTTTTTTGGAAGGATTAGTAAGCTATGCAGGGAAATGGGAGAGATGTAAACCGAGATAAAGAACACAGTATATTAGTCAAAAGTCAGACACATTCGAAAGAAAATCAAGTTTTGAAGTTTTTTAATTGATTAATTCATTGGAAGTTATTTTCCTCTAACCAGATCATTGACAATTTATACATAAACTAAAAGAAAACTAAACGATGAGTTAAAAGTTAGGCGTTTAGTTAAAAATAATCATCGTAAAGGGGTCATTTAACACCATAATAACGCTGCTAGAGCCTAGAAGATTTTTCGACTTAAAACATGCTTGAATTGGAATAAGAAGTCTTATTTAACCCTCCCCCCTATAACATTCACACGATCTCGCACCTAATGAGTATCTCCTTCATTTATTACAAAATAGTTTTATTGAGGAAAACTTAGATACATTTTAACAAGTACAAGCAACAATCAAAAAATCTACATCTGCAGAATTTTATAGGAATGGAATCTTCTTAGGAATGTACTACACCCACACAGAAATAACACATGGCATGCGGGAAGAATATAGGCAGTAACTTTCATTTTATTAAATATAAATTTTCCAACCAACCAAACAAGATCTTATGATCAGATTACAATAACGTAACATTGATTACCACATAATTTATCTAGCATCAGTAACATAAAACCATTTTTACAATATAGGTGCAAATGAGCTCATAGATATTGACGCCATCGCACTGAATTGATAGACTAACTTATCTAAACTAGAATTTTCGAAAATCATAGATACGCTACGCTCTAAAATATATATTCTTCTAAATGACTTCGACCATTGCATTCATGAGTGTTTTACTGTCTATTATGCAGGTCGTATTATAGATTTTTTGACACTACTGAAAATTCGCTCTTAAATAATTCGCTCATTGAAACCTCATCATTTACAACACAACAGTTGTGTGATGAGACAAGTAGGATCAGTAACTTTTTAGACATGATGAATCAATATTAATTATATCAGCGATCTTTTAAATAAAATTTTATAATATGCTATCATTTGTGACAATCTTTGCAGAAAGAGTTTTCTCTTATCCGGCCCATTGTACTGGAATCTTTGGCGAATAAGGTCTTGTTTCCATGCACCAACGAAGGATGTCCAAAGCACGTAAATCTGCCTCTATTTGACAAACACATTGCTCAATGTCAGTTTCGAATCATCAATTGTTTTATGGCACGAGTATATGGTAAGACAAGCATTTATATGAAAATGAACTAGTAATAAGTAGGAAATATAAAAGTAACTTAGAGTTTGAAGCGTATCTACCTATGTTTTACAAAAACATTATTATTTTTTGTACAGCACCGATAAAAATCACAGTCCACCTGATTGTACATACATTTAGCCTCGAATCGTAGGAAATCATCAGGTTTGTCCTTAGAAATTGATGTTTTAGTAATTTTACCATTTTAATTTTCCTATTATATATTCGTAAATTTTCCTTGTAACCAAGCATTTCATCTTCTGCCCTCGACATGCCTACATTTCATTTTAATCATAATTTTTTTACATTAAATCAAGGACAGCTGTAGGTCGATAGACTACAGCATACACTTAACATGAGGTGGCCTGTATTCTCCATATTCACCCTTACTTATCTAAAAGAGGTAAATTCGATAACGGTATAAGAAAATCTATAATAAACGAAAGCTTAGTATTGAGTTTTACGTTATACGTGCATTAGAGTCTAATTACGAATATATGTTATGCTGATTTACTACATCAACAAAAATAAAATACGTATATTTAAGACATAATGATGTTTTTCAGTTCAAATGTTATTTTCCAAAACAAAATAATGATTTATTACTTTATTTACATATATATAAATAAAGTTGTATTTATTGTTTCTTATTATTTTATTGTAGGTGATTGTTCTTGGGAAGGACGAGCTGGCGATTGGATGGACCACTGTTTTGAAGCTCACAAAGAGAAAGTAACTGAATTACCATTCATGACAGTAAAAGACAAGTGGGATGCTAAAAAAACAGAACCAGTTCTTAACTATTTCTTGTTGAAGTGTTACGAGAGAATTTTCAACGTTTATCAAGTTTACGACAAACGAGGAGGTAATTTTATTTTGTTTACGTAATTATAAAGTTCAAATTGACAGGTAACTCGATAGTAAGTGGCCAACAGGCATACATGGATTTAGATAAGTAGCTTAAAGTAAAGAAGGCATCAGATGCGTTAATAATATTTCCAATGCTTCACAGCCTCTAACAACGTATCGTTATTGTGTTTGTTACTAGCTCTGGTAATTTCTTCAATCAAAATATATTCAAAATCAAGCGATGATAACAAGTGTAGTGGGCCTATTAAACTAATCAGGTAATAATCATTCAAAAGGTTCAACAAATTAATATTTTAATACATATTACGCTATCCGTACTGTTATGTAATAAACATCTTAAATAATATCTCCTTGTGTTACCGCAATAGATGACTTGATAGTTTACCACAACACTTTATTAGTGATAATATGCTTCCCAACTGTATAGCAAAAGTGAGCATTAGTTGCTATCCTGTATCTGATAAAGTCACAAGATTTTATTGAATGGGAACCAACAACCAAAGTCTAAGTATAAATCTGTAGGAGTAGAAATTGTGTGCTGCCCGTTTTGCTACAAGTGCTACAGTATGTGATATTTACGCTCAGTTGTTCAATCGCATTTTTATTTGAGACGTACAGAACCAAACAATCAAGGTTCTTTGTATAGGTATACCCTATGAATGGATCGATACAAAGGAAACTAACGCAATTTCCTAAAAAATCACGTATAATTTTAAAGGCGACGACTTTAGTTTGAATATTTTCAGCCGGTTGCTCAAAAGGGCGAATATAAGACTTTACAGTAAAAAAAAAATGATTTAATGTTGAATTTTTGTTCGCAGGTTGTTTAAAGATGTTAACTTTAAGATTAGTTACTAGTAAAGTTGCGACGCAAAACATGTATTATGGTTCTGTTGTAAAAAAGCATTAAAGAAAATATTTTTAATATATTGTGTATAATTATGTATTTTGAAAAATCACCGTGCACGCGTTATTCACGTGCTTCGTATTTAAAACTAATGAAATACAAAATTTTACATTGTACTGGCAGTCTAAGAATATACACTACCCATATCGTGTCGTGAAAGGCGATTGAGGGAAAATGAAATAGGAGATGAGCACCATCATCTTCCTGATAACAGCTCCAAATAATAAAAACCTGTGGTTAACAACCCGCTTGCCAAGTGTGGCAACTATGGCCTAAACCCCCCATGAGGGAATCTATGATGGAGACCTATGTTCATTATTCATTTTTTATAGGCTGTAATGGAATGGATGAAATAAAAATTTGTCAAGTATTGGCTAAAAGATAAGAAAAATATTAGTGCTAGATACTGAAAATTTTAATTTATTTAAAACTAAATACAAATAACATTCATTAGATAACAATAGACCTCCGTTTCGCATTATCTTTAGGCCGGCAGTAATAACCTTGTCGCTTATCTTCAGCCACAGATCCCCAAAAACAAAATAATATAAGGATTCCCAAATATAAATATTATATAATCTATTAAGCTATTAACTATTCAATGCATAGTAGATAAGTACCCAGCTTCTGTCATTAAAACAGTGTATATAATCAACATAAATGTAATGGTATCAATATTTTAACTACGATAGATGTAGAATGGGCCACAGCAACCACTTACCATCTGGTGGACTGTGTGCTCGTTTGTCACCCTATTCTATAAAAAAAATATAATTAGTTTAATTATTACTTCAATACTTTATCAAGTACGAAATTATTTTAAAATTATAGGGATGTGTGGTTCATTTTAATTTACTGTTTTATACCGTGTAGTAGCGGTGCAAGAATATCCACTACCCCATATTACCCCATGCGCGTCCTAAGAGGCGACAGAAGGAAACAAACCAGGAGATGGGCAGCAGCGTCTTCCTCATAACAATTATAAAATTAAAAAATTGCGATTGCCAACCCGCTTGCAAAGCGTGGCAACTATGGCATAACCCTCTTATGAGGTAATCTTTTGGGAGGCCCATGTTAAGCATTGGTTTGCCAGGCGTAAATGATGAAGATGATTATGATGTTTTGACTACAGTAATTATCTCATGTGTAAATTTGATGGTTTTTATGCAGTAGACTTTTCACAATACACTGCATACATGGAATGACGATCTGCTTTAAGCATTACAGGATTCGTTGGATGCAGGTAGCTTGTCCGTGATTTGAGACAATCCTTTAAGGATGCCTATTTTGGCCTAGAATGGGATTTATTATGAACTGTGTTGGTAATGAATAATGAAAAATCTAGCACTCGAGCACTCACTAGACCCAGTTATTATTAGCTAAATAATAATCTAACGTTTGTGATGAAGGAACAATGTAAGGGACAGTAGGTAACCTCCGTGGGGTTTTAGTCGCGAGGAAATCGACATAATCTACGCTCCTTATTTATCACAATATATGTATATCCTTAAATCGATTTGATGTTTAAATATTATTTATTAGGTAGTCGCATACTTTTAATGCCTAGGAGTCTGTCTAGATAGGCCTCTTTCCTATTTATTTCTGCCACCAAGTAGCAGTGCCTGCTTGTCTGTTTCCGATCTGAAGGGTATGGGTATGATTTCGTCTTAGTCCTCAGAGGTGACAACGCATCTGTAGCCTACTTTGTTTGAAGTTCCAAGCATTTTGGAGTGGTTACTGTAATACGGTGAACTGTAAATTTGTTTGTCTCATCAGTTTAAAAAAAGATGCAGATATATTAGCTTCGAATTTTTCTTTACGTATCTTAGCTTTTTGACTCTATACATCAAGCCGCGGACAACTTGGGATGTTTGCCAAATACCCTAAGCGTGTTAGTTGGACGGTGATTGTAATGAAGACCTTGACGTTTCTCAGATTTTACAAATATCTATTTTTTATTACAGGAAGGATGATGTGGACTGTTCTTGTTAATGACGATAATGCAGAGAAGTTTTATTTTGAAGTGGACATATTTTTACCAAACTTGCCGAGTAAGAGAATTGTTTACAGGTATGAATTACGTTTCGGTGTAATATTTGTATTTTATCAAGCATAAGCATGTTAACGTGAAAATGTTAAAATATTTACTCTTAATAATCTTAACTCGTCAATTACAACGTGCATTGCGCTGGTACGTGCGTCACGCAACTGACAAACAAAGCTCTGGCGATCGACTTATGTAGGGTATCTCATCCAATTATTTCAAAACTCAAATCCCATTGACTATGACTGATAATCGGTACTAACTACCCTTACACAATAGTAAATATAAAAAAAATCTTTTAAGGAATGTAGAACTAAGAAGTTTCTACTTATTATTTATACATTAATACTTACTGAACGTAATTTTTCACGCCTCATAACGCAAGGCGTTATATAGGTATGTTCTACTCTCGACATGTCAGGTCGAGCAATTTTGTGTTCTTAAAATGCCTCTATCATAACCATATTGCACTATACGATAATATGAGTAGCCGTATATCAAGAAAACACTGTATAAATTCATCTTATATTTTCTAAAAAAAAAAAAAAACATTTTATGTTGCTACTTTGGAAAAAAAAACAGTTTGAAAAAATTTTTACATAGACGTCTGAATGTTGATTTTGTATGTGGTCAAGATAACTGCCGAAAAAAATGACGTATCGAGACCGGGTTTTCTTTTTATTAGCTTCAGAATTACATCAACTGGTTCCCTATTTCAAAACGATTTGTTAATAAAATGATTTTAAGCTTTTTTAAATTTTATTGCTATCAAAAATTGAAAGGTCCATTTTAGCCCTTGATAGACAAAAAACAAATGTACCATACAGCCTATATCAATTATATATTTGATGAATATTTGTTTTCTTTTGGTAAACATTTTATTTAGTTTTTTTTTTGGTATCAATACATAAATAAAATTAAATTAAATGAAACGCTCATGATGCGTGCACCTTTGGATTTAACAAACTATTTTTTACCTTTACCACTGGGTCGGGAAAAAATCCTTTGTCCTGGGAAAAACCAGCAGGAAACACAGCGGGACTTTTTTATATAAAAAATAATTTACAATATATTACTTTATATAATTAGTAGGTACGAAAACATTTAGAAACAGCATGGTAGCGATCACCTCACTCACAGGGGTAATCAATAATGTACTCTTTAGTAGTACAATGACCCTTACTAAACAATTTTTATTAATAAAAAAATTTACCTTTTTGATAGATGCATGCTTGCAAGTCTGCATATTTTCTAGGAATTTGTTGTAAAAGCGTTGCTCCATGAAGGATTTACTGACTTTTTGGAGTCAAGTAACTGGTATTACTAATTTGTGCTTGTTCCTTGTATTTACAGAATGTACATTACTATTTTTAATAAAACTATTTTTGTTTGTGTGTACATACATTAAATTTTCTTAAATTTATTGAGAGGCTAAAGTTAATATAAAGCTGCTCGTATGGATCTCTTCTGCAAAACAAAGATAGTTTCAATGTCAGTCGCACAACCCCATAACAAGATTCCACTCCATATCTGAAAATGTCTTATTGTCATAAAAACTTTTAAAAAACAGCTAAAATAATTATGAACGGTGAAAATGGACTTAAGTACTTTTTCTCTCACTATATTTAATCCAGCGAACGGAAATTATCCCGTTCACTAGGATCCAAGATAAGCCATTTTCGAAACTCTTACGTGATATTTCGCTTAGAAATCTACTAAATTAGGCTAAATAAATAAAAATAAACATTTAATAGCTAAATTGATTTTTTTTTTGGTTTATGAAGATTAATCTTTTTGTTGATTGATGATTTGGTTTCCGGAACAGGACACTTATCAATGCGTTAAAGAAATGCTTTCTATTATTTTTTTTTTCGAATCTTGAACTCGTTAGTAGCAAAGCCCGGGAAAAACTGAATTGTAAACTACGAGTATACCCAATGTTTTTTTTTTCAAACTTCACCTTTGGCGGGAATTTGATTCGTATGCAAAATAGAGAAACTCGAACTTCGTGCGGTTATTAGTTATTTCAGTCTGAATTTTTTGTCCACAAAATGTATTTTCGTAGAACTACAGTCTACTTTGGCAGACAATGCTACGGCTAATTCTACAGTGACATACTGGTGCGCTAAATTTAAACGCGGCAGAACCGCCTAAAATGACGACACCCACTCCTGGCGACCAAAAACGACCGCGACGCAAGAAAACGTTAAAAAAAATAAAGAAATTGTTAAGGTAGATCAACGTGTGAACGTTCGTTATTTATCTGAGATTCTACATATTTCGTGTGGGATAATTCAACTTATTTTAATTCCTACCTTAAAATTCAAAAAGGTGGCCGCGCTGAGTTCAGTCAAAGAAAGAAAAAGTTGACATTTCAATGCCAAATTCAGCAATAATTGAAAAAGATCCAGATTCTCTTTGCGCTCGTTTCGCTACCATAGATGAAACCGTTTTATACGTGGTAGAGCCATGCTGCAGCTTTATTATGGTTGTAGCACGAATGGGTCGGCTCGACCGGGGAAGAACCACGCTCTCACAGAAAACCATCGTAAAATAGCAGCTTAACGCTGCTGTGTTTCGTATGGTGAGTGTAGAGAACCGGAGACCCTTTTTACTGGCAAATAGGCATTCCATCTTAGTCCTCACGGGTGACAACGCATCTGCATCTTGAGTCTTTATTGAGGATAGATGTAGATGTCTATGGGTCACAGTAACCACTTACCATCAGGTGGACTATGTGCTCGTTTGTCACCCGATCCTATAAAAAAAAAACGTGAGTCCACCATTTTGACCCGGAGACAAAAACCAAAACAAGGTGTGATAAAGGCCGTCTTCTCCGCCAGTGAAGAGATTCAGGGTGTTTGCGTTCGCTGAAAAAATAATGGCTTCTGTCTCCTGTGATGCGGAAGTTATAATAATGATCAACTATGTAAGTAAAGAAGAGACAACAACCGGAGATTATTACCAATCATTAATCAAATAACTACGCAAAGAAATAAAGAATAAACATAAAATAAAATTGCGCGCTGGAGTACTTTTTCATCATGATAATGCCCCCGCCCATACATCCTATATTGCAGGCGCTGCCTTCCGATGCCATATTCTCCGCGCTTAGCTCCGAGTGATTTTTACCTTTTTACTCACCTGAAAAAGCACTTGCGTGGTATGAAATTCCACGGTGACTTTTGAGGTGATGTGTACTGTCTTTTTCGAATCCCAAGATCAAGCCTTTTTTCCAATGGAATTAACCAACTTGCAAAATTATATTCAAAGTGTATTAGCTTTAAAAGCGATTACGTTGAAAAATAAATATAATTTACTTAAACTTATCCTAGAATTTCAAAAAACTTTTCCAAAAACTTATTGATGAACCTAGTCTTAGCTCGCAGATGACATGAACTGCAGTCGTTTAACATATTTCTTGTTTATACGAAAAAAATGGGGTAAAAACAAACCCTGTTATAGTTGACGATCGTTGTGTTCGCTTTTCGGTTGAGTGGTTAAGTCGAAGGAGCTGGTACTATAGTAACCCCGGCCCAGATATGAGAACAGTATTTCATACGAAACCAAACTTGCGTTTTGTAAAGTTGCAAGCATTGTGTCGGTATAAATTACAGTTCTATGCTAACTAAGCCTGCCAAGTTATTTAAAGACCAATTTGACCTTTCTCTCACATTAAGTTTGTTAAAAATTAATTTGCTTATATCCGCCCTTCTTTCGATTGCGTGCACTATATCCATCACTACTAATATCAACACCACTACAGGAGAATTGGTGTTGATGACACGAGGCATTACGCGTACCCGGCGGTCAGCGCGCGTACTTTGATCACTAATAGTGATCTAAGTACGCGTAATAAAAATTTCATCCATTCATACCATATATTACAGCCTATAAAAGTCCACTGCTGAAGATAGACCTCCCCCATAGATTGCCTCATAGGGAGGATTTTGCAATAATTGCCAGGCTTGGAAGGCGAGTTGGCAACCGCAGATTTTTATTTTTATTTAGCTATTATCAGGAAGATAGTGCTGCCTATCTCCTGTTTCAGTTTCCCTCTGCTGCCACTTACGACACCTACAGGACGACATGGGGTAGTGGGTATACTTACACAGTCACTCAACGGTTGAAATAAAATTTATTTAAATTTAATTAATTTTTTTACAGTCGGGTTTTTTAAAGTATTTTCTATACGTTTGATACCCGCGGGGGATGTAGTGTAGTTGTGTTGGGAGTAGTAGTGCTGGGATTAGTGGTGACGGGGATAGTGCACGCAATTGAGGGATTGTGGGAGGTTCTCTTCAACTAGGTAAGATACATCATTTTATTTCATAACGTGGATTTAAGCAAATTAATTATTAACAACTTTTAACAACTGACAAATCTTACCATACCATCCACACCATCTGGATGCTTGGCGGTCCACACTGTGCGGTTTACTAAGAGTTTTCTTCCTCGCAAAACAAATTTGAAATATATTTTTGTATATAACCGAGATATATCTTCATTTTAGGCGACCTTGTAAGTGTGAAAAAGACGCTGATTTCTTAGAGCACACACAAAATGTGTACATTCCAGTGGAAAACGTTTTTTCAATGTTGGATGAAAGTGAGTCGATTAATTTTACAATAAGAATTGGTAAGTGAAATTGTTTACCTTTCTAATTAAATAGGTTACATACTATGAAAATGCTATGCTGATATGGCATACATTTTAGTTTAAGCTTAAACACTGTGCGCTTGAAATGTCAAACTGAATTTATTACGAAAACGCATATTTGTTTTAAAAAAAAGGAAATAAGTGTCTACCGCCAAATACCGTACTTGCTTATAACCAGTAAATAGACCGAAATCTGAAAAACCGGAGATGACATGCCTAAGAACGACATACGTCGACACTGTCATAGTTTAGGATATATGTTAACTTTAATAACGTGATATTATCTTAACCTCACCATAACTGCCATAACACAGTCTGTAGATTGATGCGACAGCGTCTGCGGAAAGCTCGCTTATGTGGAGTCTTTCTAGGATTTTTCATATGAAAAATTTAAAAGTCCTTATCACGATCTCTCGGTCGTATAAGTTTTTACTATCTGATTTCACCATTACTCTTTGCATAACGATATTCCTTTGTCTTTTCCAAAGCTCTTTATCAATCTTAACGATATCCGTGTAGAATGACTCATACGATTTCGTCAGGAAGTTGCATATATCAATTTGCACTGCAATTGCAACATTCACATTGTCGATATTGCAGATTGAGAGCTCTTTGCAGACTTGCAGCCTTGCTGATAATTTTAAATGATGTATACTGTAATTTAAAATCTGATTAAGCCCACTTGAGTAAACCAAAGGTTATAAAGATTAAATTTAAAGATTAAGATTAAAGAAAGAAGGCTTAACCAAGCGTCATACTCATTATTTTCATTCGTTACAGCGCATCCAAACTTCACACATTTTTGCCATAGTTGCCACGCTTAACAGGCAGGTTGGCAACCGCAGTTTTTTAATTTTTAATAGCGAGTTCTTATCAGGAACATGCTGCTGCTTATTTCCTGTTTCAATACCTTACATTGCCTCTTACGTTACCCACGGGATGATATAATATGATAGTGGAATGTCATATATGTGTGCCGTATTCACACCTAGCATACGGCTGTTAATAATTTCTCAGGAATATAATAAACAGGTGTCGAACTAACTGTTTCATCTAAAGCTCATCGATACCTATTTTTGTGACATACTCAAGTATCGTTATTTTTGAAGTTTGTAAAGGGTGCCCAAGTTTACTAGCAATGACAAGTCTATGCTGCCATACTTTAATTTTACATCAAATTCGATTTGCTGTTGCTGCTGAGTACTTTGTATTCAGTGAAGTACAATCAAGGGCCGACTTTTCAATCCTCAGTTAATATTTATTCAATTCAAAATTATTCACTTGCTTCACAATTATATTTAGTCGGATTATCATTTATTAGACGGATATCTTTGGCTCTAAATGTTTCAAGAAAAGTTGAAACGAATTTAAATATTTAAAATGAACATATAATGTTTATTAAATTGCTTTCACAGGTGAAGTTGAGAACTTGCCGTTACTCGAGACACCTACAGCAAGCGAAAGCTTAATACTTCTCCATCAGGAAGACGTGAAAGAAAATGGTCAATTATAAATTAAATGCAGTGCCAATTACGGAAAGGACGTAACATGTTAAAATAAAATTAAAGTGATATTTTGAGAGCTTGCAGAATGTAACACGAGGAAAAATAAAGTTAATTATTTCAGATATTGTGACGTAGAATCGTAAACAATTTTTTAGTATTTTTTGACTAAACTTGCACAGCTTCTATTTATATTTAAATCTTCACTATCTGTTTGTGCACGTCATTCACGGTATATTTAGACGTACGAATAAATTAATCACTCTTATACAAATCCACATCAAATTAGAAAATGCTTAGCCTAAAATAATAAATTTTATTTTAAAAAGGAAAACTTTGTTTCATTTTGTATACAGCACTATTCTCCAACAGATAATAAATATTATTAAATATTTAAAATCAAAAAAGTGATCGACTATTGTAAATTGTTAATATGTTTAGGGGCCAGTTTTTGTGGCATAGATCTGCGTTCAGCAGCAGTCTTGTGAAACGCTGTAATGACAATGATGATAATAGCCACTTTGTGCCAAGTTTGGCTATTATTTTTATTTGGTGTCCGGAAAAAGTTATAAAGAGTCACAAAAATGCAATTTTTATAATTTCCCTTCATTTTATACCTTATTATGTATCATAGTGATATTTTTGTATATATTGCATGCCTTAAGCGCGAAAGGCGCAGGTATGTTCTGCTAGGGCCTAAAAATTAAGATTCCAACGTTTTGTCACGTTTCTAATGCTAGTGCCTCACATATCGCGAAGAATTCATTTGATGCATAGGCTGTATTAATCGATGTATAAAGTCAAATCGTCGCAATACGGTGACCTCTATATATACAAATACGCTGGACTGGCTATGATTTGAAGTGCCCCTTTTGGCCGGACCGGGAACTAAAATTGTCATAATATGCCAAAGTATTATTTAAATCATATCTCTATATTTTGAATTTTTCAACTAAAAAATCCAAGTATTTTATGTGGTGTGATTGTTTTATTTTAGTTACATAATAAGAATTATTTTTAGTAATAATGAGAGAGTTGTGCGTTATATGTAAAACTCGTCACCAAAAGGAAAGTGGGTTAATATTCCACAAGTAAGTAAATTTGCAGCTAATATTAAGCAAATTAAAACTATTTGATAATATAGGTACTTAAAAATTTGTTACTACTCTTAAAATCGTAATTACCAACATGTTTGTCTTATTATTATTGAGTTTTGATAAACAATTTAATTCAATAGTGTTGACGAGTTCCTTGTCTATTATACTTACCGATGTTCTTTTCTACCCTTATCTGTTCACAACAAAAGTCGCCAACAGCAAATAATTATCAACTAATGTTTATTAATTAACAGGTAACTGAACCAAGACTAAAATTATGGCTAAAAAGCATAAAACTGTGAATTGGCATCCGAAACAAAATGATTATCTTTGTAAGCACTTCACAGACGACTGTTGTATTATACATGAGAAACGCGCTACTTTAAAAAAGTGCAGTATATATAGTTATAAAAGGGAAGTCGGGGAGGGAATTCCTCAACAAAGGAGGGGTTCTCGCTGGTGGGGCCGCGAATGTGTTGGAAAGCGTTTCCGTGGCCCTGTCAATGTGTGGTGAAGGTGGAACATCATGGGGTTTTAGTAGGTGCACACCCAACATAATCCGTTCTTGCCACCGCAATGCATGTATGCGTAGGTATTTTCTCATTTGAAACGTGGAACAAAATCCGTTCTGTAGTTACGAATAAAAACTTACCATATCAACACAGCGTCGATCTTGGTATTAATTGATACATTTATTTATTGTATGGCATTATATTAATCTCGTATGATACTTAAATAGAATGGCCTGGGTATAAAATTTTTATCGATATATTTTTTTACACTGTCTTATTTTTATTATTAGTTCCGTGGCCGTTCACTTCTGCTGTCAGCGCCAAAAAGGCTAAAGTCAAATCGCCTCTTTATGTCACGGTGTATAGCCAGTCCATATATAGAGGTCGGTGTCGCAATATCATACCCATTTTCCATGTAAACTTATATCATCGCATGAAAATTGAGATGCAGTTTAAAAATATGACGACAATCAAAGCACATTCAGACTCGAACAACTAATTTGCAAAAATACAAATGGTTTTAACTTGGGTCCAAAAGCAAAGCTCGTGGCTATATGTTTAGACAGTCAGCCAAGCATACACGTAGTAAGGTTGACAAACGAGCACCCGTTGACACCTACATCCCAACGTCAACCCCAAGAATTAAAATTAAATGCCTTGTTACAAATAAAAATGGTTTCCGGTTCTCCTTACTCACTAAACTGCACTCATTCAGCACTATACAACACTATACAGCTACACTACAGCATTGAGTTGCTATTTTACACTGGCATTCTATTATGGCATCATTCATCATCATCATCATCATTACAGCCCTTCACAAGTCCACTGCTGAACATAGGCCTCCCCCAAAGAATGCCACAAAGCACGGTCCTGAGCCACCTGCATCCATCGACTTCCTGCATATCTTACCAGGTCGTCACTCCATCTAGTGGGGGGACGCCCTACACTTCGCCTGCCGATACGAGGCTGCCACTCGAGAACCTTTCTTCCCCATCGGTTGTCGGTTCTTCGAGCTATATGGCCGGCCCATTGCCACTTCAGCTTACTAATCCGTTGGGCTATGTCGGTCACTCTAGTTCTACTGCGGATATCCTCATTTCTGAGTTTATCACGCAGAGAAACTCCGAGCATAGCCCTCTCCATAGCTCGCTGAGCGACCTTGAGCTTCCTCATCCGGCCAGCAGTGAAGGACCACGTCTCAGTTCCGTATGTCATCACTGGCAACACGCACTGGGTGTACAGTCTCGTTTTCAAGTTTTGAGGTATACCTGACGAGAAGATGTGCCGTGATTTCCCGAACGCTGCCCAACCGAGTTGAATCCGTCGATTGACCTCTCGGTCGAAGTTGGACTTACCTAGTCGGACTATTTGTCCCAGGTAAACATACTCGTCAACAACTTCGAGCCCAGTGTTCCCAACAACTACCGGCATAGGTGTGACATGGACATTAAACATGATCTTTGTTTTGTCCATGTTCATCTTAAGACCTATCCGTTGGGAAACACTATTGAGGTCATTGAGCATAGGGTCCTCCAGCGATTCTGCCATAAGGACTATATCGTCGGCAAATCGAAGGTGAGTGATGTATTCGCCATTGATGTTGATACCGTATCCTTTCCAGTCCAGAAGCTTGAAAACATCTTCCAATGCAGCGGTAAAGAGTTTCGGGGATATGACGTCACCCTGTCTTACACCTCTCTGCAATTGGATAGGTTTCGTACTCTGGTTCTGTACTCGGATAACCATCGTAGCCCTACTGTACAAGCACTTCAACACTTCGATATACCGACAGTCAACTTGGCATCGCTGAAGGGACTGCAGCACCGCCCAAATTTCGACGGAATCAAAGGCTTTCTCATAGTCCACATACGCCAGACATAGTGGCAAATTGTACTCCTCGGACTTCTGTACAATTTACCGAAGGGTATGTATGTGGTCTATGGTGCTAAAGCCTTTTCGGAAACCGGCTTGTTCGGGAGGCTGGAAGTCGTCAAGTCTGCGCGCGAGACGATTCGTAATGACTCTCGAAAACAGCACGTAGACGCGGCTCAGAAGGGAAATCGGTCTGTAGTTCTTCAAGAGAGCGTTGTCGCCTTTCTTGAAGAACAAGACCACCGCACTTCTGCTCCACGCCTCCGGTGTAATGCCACCATGGAGGACGGAATTAAAGAGCTTCTTAAGGACTTCAAGTACCGGTTTTCCACCCGCTTTCAGAAGCTCCGCTGTAATTCCATCCTCGCCTGGGGCCTTGCCGTTTTTAAGGTGCTGGAGAGCCATTCTAATCTCGCTCAGACTGACGTCCGGGATATCATCGGAATAATGTCGGATAAGACTCGCTCTTGGATCGTTACTCACACTTGCGTGCGGCTCCAACGATGACGTGTACAGCTGCCCATAGAAACTCTCAATCTCACTCAAAATCTCAGATGCCCCGGAAACGATGCTGCCACATTCTGTCTTCAGCTTTGACAGTTGGCGCTTTCTGGCAGACAGATCTCTGGCAAAGACTTTGGAGCCTCGGTTCCGCTCGACCGCGTCTTCAATACGAGCTGTATTGAATTTGCGTAAGTCCCGCTGCATGCATTTGGAGATCTGTCTGTTCAGTTGCCTGTATGCTGTTAAATCTGTTGAAGAATGTAGCTTCATCTCCCGTCTAACAGCCATGAGATTAAGAGTGTGATCGGAGAGTTTTTGTGTTCTTCTGCGGCGGGTCTTGCAGAACTTAGCTCCGACCGCATGGACAGTTTCCACGAGCTTGTCATTCAAATCGTCCACTTCATTGCAGTCTTCTAGGCACTGAAAACGGTTTTGTAACTCGAGCTGAAAGGTTTCGGGACTTTGGATTAGAGCACGAGGGGGACGGAGCGTTGACTTCATTAGACGAGACCTCTCCAACTTAACGTTTAAGTTCAGTGTGCCTCTAACCATTCGGTGATCGCTGCCGGTTTTCACCCTCGCGATCACTGAGACATCACTGAACAGTTGTCGTCTGGTCGTCATAATGGAGTCAATCTCATTTTTTTTCGAACCTTCGGGGCTCGACCAGGTCCACTTCCTGTGGGGCCGCTTCTGGAAGAAAGAGTTCATCATAAAGAGTCCCTCTTTCTCCATGAAGTCGGCCAGCTGCTGGCCCCTTGGGTTCCGTTGCCCTATTCCAAATTTCCCTACTTTTAGCTCACCGTTCTCTCTTGTGCCTAGTTTTGCATTGAAGTCTCCCATTAACACCGTATATTGGGTTTTGGAGGAATGCATGGCTCTAGAGATATCCTCATACATTTCCTCCACCTCCTGATCGGGGTGTGCCGAGGTTGGTGCGTAAACCTGTATGACCTTCAGCGAATACCGTTTGGTGATTCTGAGTATAAGGTACGCAACCCTCGTCGACACACTCTCAATCTT